TCGGTCATGTCTACATAGTTCTCGAACCCGTAGGGTCCGCACGCTTAAAGTTTGGTGACGATCAGTATTATGAGTTTATGTGATTTAATGTACCGAAGGTAGTTCGGAGTCTCGGATGAGATCGGGGACATGACGAGGAGTCCTGAAATGGTCGAGACGTAAAGATCGATATATTGGACGACTATATTCGGACATCGAAAAGGTTCCGAGTGATTCGGATATTTTTCGGGGTACCAGGGAGTTACGGGAATACGAGGAAGAAGTAATGGGCCTCATGAGCCAAGTGGGGGAAGGGACGATGCAGGGCGCGCGGCCCCCTAACCCAAACCGAATTGGACTAGGGGGCCGGGCCCCCTTTCCTCCTCCCCCCCCCCCTCCTTCCTTCTCCCTCTCCTTCCTTTCCTCCTCCTAGTGGGAGTAGGAAAGGGGAGTCCTACTCCTACTAGGAGGAGGACTCCTCCTCCTGACGCGCCCTACAGGGGCCGGCCGGCCTCCCCCCTTGCTCCTTTATATACGGGGGCCGGGGGCACCTCTAGACACACAAGTTGATCTGTTGATCTCTCCCAGTCGTGTGTGGTGCCCCCCTCAACCATATTCCACCTTGATAATATCGTAGCGGTGCTTAGGCGAAGCCCTGCGTCGGTAGCATCATCAACACCGTCATCACGCCGTCGTGCTGACGAAACTCTCCTGCAAAGCTCTGCTGGATCGAAGTTCGTGGGACGTCATCGAGCTGAACGTGTGCTGAACTCGAAGATGCCGTGTGTTCGGTACTTGGATCGGTCGGATCATGAAGATGTACGACTACATCAACCGCGTTGTGCTAATGCTTCTGCTTTCGGTCTACGAGGGTACGTGGACAACACTCTCCCCTCTCGTTGCTATGTATCCCCAACATCTAGCCGAGTGTTTGGTACTACTCCTATTGTTGGTAGCCAATGTAATGGGCCCTTATTACTTTAATCTGGTTGGATTGGGTAGTATCTTCCTTCTTCCATGATAAACTAGATGATATCATGCACGTTATTGTGGGAATCGGTTGCAATTTCAATGGGATTTGGTTATATGAAGCACATATATTTAAATTTAAAATATGTGAAATAAAACTAAAATAAATACCATATGTAGATTGTATTTGATTATTGTATTAGTGAAAAATATTTACTTAATATAGTAAGTAGCATAATATAATGAATTTTTTTTGTCATGCATGTTATGGTGGACCTTTGATGATCTGAAATTTGTGGTGAGATGGCACGCGTGCATGTTGAGATAAATAGAAGTAGTGAGAATCAATTAATGATGGAAAAAATCATGCATGTTGAGGTGGGCTTTTGATGAGTTGGCATTTGCAGTGAGGTGGCATGTGTGCTTGTTAAGATAAATAGAAATAGTGGGAATCAACTACTTAGATATATAGGATACAAGACTTGAGAGTGGTGAGGGCTATATGGGGGTTGCACCCAAAGACCCCCATGGGAAACCTCTATGGGTCCCACGTGGTACTCATGTGATTCCCACATGGTAGGGTGGCATGACCCCTCCCTAGGCCCTGTGACAAGTGGCACAGATCCCCCTTTATCGTTTAGTCTTCAGAGAAGTTTCATCTTGATTTTTCTAATGTAATTTCTGAGTTCTAGAAGTTTCTTAAAACCACAAGAATACAAAAGTGAAACCTTCCTTGCATTTTGTTAGTGTCAGTGCAATTTTCAGCAATAATAATCATGGGGTGTACACATAGATAATGGGTGCACACGAGACAAGGATTTACCCGGATTCAGACCCTTGAGATGCGCTACATCCCGCCTTTGTGGAATGTACTGATGGTTTCCTTGTATGAGGGCTAGGGTTTTTGCGGTAGCACATATATTGTGCCGCGTGTTGACTGTTGAGAGATGCGGTAAGGAGATGTGTTAAAAGGCTATGAGGCATATTGAGCATACTGATCGGAAGGCCCCTACCTCCTCTATAGATGGACAAGGGAAAATGTTACATGGGCACGAGCCGGTTTATATGGATCTACTAAACATACATGTCTTGTACTGAAATCACAAGTTAGAGGGCATTCCTCTTGCAAAGGTCACTCCCACCTCCTCTTGAGATGACAAGTGGCTCACTGCATCACTGCATGTGTGACACTTATTGTAACCTAAGAGTTTTGTGTTTTCTTTTGTTCATGTATTTTCAAAACATTTTGCTTCACGTG